AAATCCCGGGCGAGCAGCTGGGACCCTGTTCTGGGTTTATAAGCCATATTCCTGGTTTATATAGGTTATAAACCATGCTGACGTTGTTACACGGAGCTTTGTTCCGACCTAACAAGCTGGGATACTGGCTGGGGTTTGTGCAAGCCAATGTCTCCATCAGGAACCTCCTGCCACGGGATTTACACCCTGTGGAGCAAGGTTGGTCTCCCGAGCCACCCGGTTCAGTCCAAATTCAGAGCTGGCGTCCCAGAGACACGCAGACATCGTTACCCTGGCGCGACCAGCCAAAACCTCTCTCGGTGCCCTTTGTGCCAGGTAGCGCTGGGCTACATTACTCACCGCCCTAAAATTAGTAAATGAACAGTCGGCTTTTTCCCAAGGAACTGGCTGCGAAAAAAAATTTCAGCTGGGGATGCCCAGTGCCAGGCTTGTCCCAAGGTGACGTGCATCGGGCAGCGTGCCCGGAGCTGCAAAGCACCGGGAGAAGGATGCAACAGCCGGGAGGGAGCTGGGCTGGGGGTCCCCCGCATCGTCGGAGGAGAAGCAAACCACAGGCACCCAGGGGACGAGCTGCCGTGGGGGACCAGCTGCCTCCTGGGACCAAAGCCGGGAGCAGCCAAGAGATGATGAGCAGGAGGTTTCCCGTGCCGGCATCACTGCCTCGAACAGCCTGTCCTGCCCCGTGACACCCTCGGTGCTTCCTCTTCCCCCAACACGACTCGCCGCTGATGACTTTTTCATGCTCTCCGGAAAGCGCGTTTGTGCTTGAAAATACCTTCCCGCTTTGTTTGCCGCTGCCGCATTGTTCAGCTCCAGGCCGATACTATCTTCTGCTGCTTTCCAGCATTTTTCTAGTACCCTTGGGTGATGCTTGCGCTGGGTGTGTGGGGGGGTCAGAACCTCCGCAGACAGGTTTTGGCAGGGCAGATACTATTTTTTTTTTTGGCTGTCCCTTCGGTCCCCGAAGGCCACTGTGCTCCCTCGCCCCCGGCACTATCTCACCACTGAATCTAGGGATTTTTCCAAACAATTGCAAAACCCAATGGACCGGAGCTTTGCTTTCCCCTTCCTACCCCGGAAACCTGGGGAAGAGCAAACAGCTCGCTGGCCTTGAAGCCACGAGCTCGCTGCGAGCTCTGGGGTTTGATAGAAGAGAGCTGCTGGGGCGACCGTGATGCACGCATGAAGCGCACAAGCCCTGTCCCACCATCCCTGCTCGTCCTCTTGTTCCCCAACCGGCTCGAAGAGGGGCTTTGCCGAAGGTCTTGGCCCCTCTTAACCTCTGGCAGGAATGAAACTCTGCCCTCTGCTTCTTGCCAAATGCTTAGAGCTGAGCGCCGGTGCACGGCAGTGCTTCCCGGCTCCCGGCACGGTCCTCGCATGGATCCTGGGACAGGAGCTGCGGCCAGACATTCGTGCCACGGCTTTACCGGGGAACTGACCGCTTGCCAGCACTGGGGTCCTCCCGCTGTTGATGAGAAACGAGGGATCTGTTAATGAACAACAAGCCTGGCTGGAGGAGCTTCGAGAGGGACGCGCACGCACGAGTGAGTGGGCAGTTCTGGGCTGTCTCTGGATGACCTCCAGAGATCTCTCCTGGCCTGGGTATTTTTTTTCCACCACCCCGGTGTGATAAGGCAATGGCAGCGCTCCCATCCACTTGCTGCTATCCGTCAGGTAGGAGTGGGCAGGAGGCAGCAACCGAGCACCCCGGCAATGAACACCCCTCTTAGCCCTGAAACCGAACCGCGGTGACTGCCTCTGGTTGCCAGCTGGGCTCGCTCCTGCAGTGTAGCTCTATAAACCATCAGTCCCCTTGTATTTTGGGAGGGGTGAGCAGAGGCTTGTGACGCCGGGTGCTTCTGACACCTTGTGTTTAACTGCTGCCTCGAGCTCTGCCTCAGCTGGAGCAAATAATTTTTTTTTTTTTTTTTTCTGTAATTTCCCCATAGCCTTCCTAGAAGAGCCGCAGCGATGTTGGGAAATTGTGGTTACCACAAAAAGAAAGTGTTAGTGAGGGGGGGGAAAAGTGTTTCCTTTGCTGGCAGATATAGAGGATATTCGCTGCCCGGCCTCGGAGCATCCTCCCGCGTGGGGATGCCGCGATAGGGGTGAGCAGGAAGACGTGATGCCTTGGTGGGTGGTGTGAGTGCAGCGGGTGGTGGAGGATGGCTCCGTCTCAGAGGTGGAGATGTCTCCATCACATCCCTGTGGTTTCGGGGCGGGGGGAAGGGGGGAGGCACGGACGGTCTCGCTCTGGGGGGAGCCAGTTTTCCCTGCGGATTGGCTTGCTGTTCCATGTGTTTCCGCCTTCCCCAGGTCTCAGGTTTGAAGCAACAGGGTGGATGGAGGACATCCGTGGGGCAGCTGGGGTTCCCAGGAGCTGTGGGCTGGAGGTGTGAGCGTGGGATGCTCTCCTCCTCCCACAGCTCCACTTTTCCTCCAAGTCCCCATGATCTTCAAAGCCCAGCTCATTTTAAAACATTTTTACAGGCAGGAGACGGATGGATGACAGCCACCCTGCCCTGGGAGCTGTCAGTACCCCACGGCCCCAACGTATCGTCCCCAGCAGCGTGGCCCTGAGGTCCCGGCTCAGATCCTGCACAGTTCAAAACCTCACCCGAGGGCACGGGAGTAACCAAAGTGCGGCCCTGGGGAATTTTGGCAGGGCAGCGTGAGCCTGGACCGGCCCATCTCCATCCCTGGGGACCGGTCGCAGCCAAAGCCAGGGCCGGGCGCCCGAAGCATCCCTCGCGGGGAGCGCTGCCAAGCTCGCATGGGAAACGTACAGGGTCACATCCCAGGGGCTCGGCCTCCCCCACCAGCTGGGACATGTCACCGCCCCGATAGGAGTTGGGGACATTAACTCTGGCTTGCCACGGCTCCGGCAGTCCAGAGGAGGCACTGCTTTTGTGCTGGAGCTGTGAGTTGCTCTTCACTGTGTTGGAGTGCCCGGGAGGACGTGGGGATGCTCGGGGCGGGATGCAGGAGGGGTCTTCCGTGCCCAGGAGGATGAAGGGATGCCTGAGGGGATGCTCAGAAGGGTGTGGAGATGCTCAGAAGGATGCAGCGATGCCTTAAGGCATGCGGGAGGGGTCTTCTGTGCCCAGGAGGATGCAGGGGTGCAGAAGGGGCTGCTCAGAAGGATGCAGGGATGACTGAGGGGATGCAGGAGGGGTGTCCCATGCCCACAAGGATGCAGGAGGGTTCTCCCATGTCTGAGAGGATGCAGGGGGGTACTCCTATGCCCAGGAGGATGCAGGAGGGGTCTCCTGTGCCCAGGAGGATGCAGGGATGACTGAGGGGATGCAGGAGGGGTCTCCCGTGCCTGGGAGGATGAAGGGATGCCTGAAGGGATGCTCAGAAGGATGCAGGGATGACTGAGGGGATGCAGGAGGGGTCTACCAAGCCCAAAAGGATGCAGGAGGATTATTCCATGCCCGGGAGGATTCAGGGGGGTTCTCTTGTGCCCAGGAGGATGCAGGGGTGACTGAGAGCATGCAGGAGGGGTCTCCCATGCCCAGAAGGATGCAGGAGGGGTCTCCTATGCCCAGGAGTGTGCAGGGATGCAGAAGGGGGTGCTCAGAAGGATGCAGGGATGACTGAGGGGATGCAGGAGGGGTCTCCCATGTGCAGGAGGATGCAGGAGGGGTCTCCTGTGCCCAGGAGGATGTAGGGATGCAGGAGGGGATGCTCAGAAGGATGCAGGGATGCCTGAGGGGATGCAGGAGGGGTCTCCCATGCCCAGAAGGATGCAGGAGGGGTCTCCTGAGCCCAGGAGGATGCAGGCATGCCTGAGGGGACGCAGGGATGCCCAGAAGAGCCCTTTCCCCATGCAGGAATTGAAGCTTTCCCCAGCAAGTAACCCCTGCCTGGGGTCAGCATTAGCAATACCCGCGGCAGAGGCAGAGCTGGCAGCCAGGAGCACTTGCCCGGTGCCAGCAGGCTGTGTTTGGTTTACGTTGCCACGACCAGCTTGCGTGGCCAGCAACCGTGCAGCAGGACACTAACAACATATGCGTCCAATCCAGCGGCAGTGCCCTGCCAAATTGCTTGTTATCCCAAAGGCTTAGTCAGGGTCATTAATGACTTTAACGCCCGTGGCATATTTTTGTTTGCCCTCTGGTATTAACGTCATGGTCGTGGTGAAGTCATAGGTATGAGCTCTTGCACGAGCTTGTGGCTCGAGGAGATGGGGCTTTCGCGGAAAGCAACCCCAGGGAGATGCGGGAGCTGTACCCAGCGCTGCAAACTGCCCTGTCCCATGGGGAGCTCGCCCAGGGTTTTGGGGGTGCCATGCCTGGAGCACCTCCGGGCGCTATGCCCAGTGCCTGGGGTGTGCTGTGGGTGCTGTATGTGGATTTTTGGGGGAGGTGCCCTTGCCCCAGCTTTGCCTCAGGCTGTGCTTTTTCCCCCCGTCCTGCTGGAATATGCCATATGGCTATAGGCTGAGCCAGAGGCTGTGTCAGCTGGGGGACATCCCTGTGGGATTTGCCATGGTTTGGGGTGTCCCTGGCTGGGCTGGGTGCCCTGGCAGGTCCTGCAGACCCAATCCCTGCAGGCAGAGGTGATTCTTCCGCCCACGTGAAGGCACCAGCCCTGGGAGGAGACGGATCATGCCGCGGTTGCACCCCGACTGACTAAGTGGAGCCTCAGGGAGTGGATCAACCTCTTGCCAAAGATTACCACGGAGCCCGGCGGCGGCAGAGCCGCCCTCGCTCTGCCTTTTCCCAGCCTGGGGCTCCATCTTTCTCCCCAGTCTGCCACTGGGCTTGGGCGGAGGGTGCCAGAGCATCTCTCTGCAGTGCCGAGTGCTGTGGGACAGGGTGGGACCTGTCACCCCGCTCGGCAGTGCAGCTGCCTGGTGGGTTTGGTGTGGATGGCAGTGCGGCTGCCTGGTGGGTTTGGTGCGGATGGGAGGGTGAGCCGGGGATGCTGCATCCTCCGGGAGGGACGTGGTGGGCACAGGGGCTCAGCCGGGCTCTCTGCATCCCCAGCTGGAAGACTGCACGCTGCAGGTCTCGCCCTCCGGCCACTACCTGGACCTCGACTTGTCCTTGCTGGAGCAGAAAGATGATCTGGAGGGTTTCTACGAGGAGGTCAGGTGAGGCACGTGGGGTACCAGAACCCTCCAGGGATGGGACACGGGGACCCCACATGCATGTGAGCACCGTGGGCGAGGGGCCGTGGTGGCCCAGCTGCAGGTGCTCACGTATTGTGTCCCCCCCCACCCTAGGAAGGGGAGACGGCCGACCCTCATCCTGCGCACGCAGCTCTCCGTCCGAGTCCATGCCATCATTGGTGAGTCGGGGCTGCTCCCTCCTCCAGGCTGGTGCAGGTCCAGTGGCTCAGAGTCCCCCCAAAATGGTGGGGTTTGACCTCCGCAGCGAGTTTTGGTCAGGCTTTTTGCACTGGAGAGGAGGCAGCGATACAGCCCAGGGCTGCTCCCACCCCATAAACCCCCTCCGGAGGCGCAGGGGACATCATCCTGGTTGGGGACCCACTGGGTTAATCCCTTCCATCCTCGGAGATCGGGACTTTTGCCTCTCGGGCCGGGAGCCCACCGCATGCTGCGGATATTCAGGCGAGCTTTAAATACAGCTTTGCAGGATACAAACTAATAGCTCTCCCGCAGCAGAAAGCACTGCCGCGGCATTGGGCAGCCCACTCGGAGGTCCTGCAAAATATTTGGGAGTCTTAAGGTTGTTTTTTTTTCTCTCTGTAGCCGGGGGGGAGGGTTTAAATAAGCGCAGAGCAGAGCGATGCCGACCAGGCATCAGTTTGCCGAGGGGTGCGGGAAGGGGCACAGCACGGAGCCCTCTCCCTGCAGGAAGGCCAGGGTCGGGGTCGTGCTCTTTGCTGGCGGTTCCCAGGCTCCGGCTGAGCCCCGGGATGTTCTGCTTTCCCTCTCGGCTGCTCTTACAAGCCGATAAGCGAGCGGAGGAGGCTGCTGGGACCTCGTGTTTTAAGGAACCCTCAACGGCACGTCTGGAGGGCTCCTTGGACGGCTTGGTTTTGGCTTGTTACAGCTCTAAAAGCGGACCCAAATAACTCGGGATGCTCAGATAACTCAATTTTTGGATGCGGGAAGCGCCGGCTCACAGTGCCTTTGGTCTCTGCTAGTTTAAGCGGGGCTTTCCAGCTTCCCGTCGCCCCGGCTGTTCCATGCTGGCCACGGAGTGTCCGTCCAGCCTTCCGCCCGGTGACCGTCCTTTTGTCCCCAAGCAGCCGGTGTCTCGCTGCCGTCCTTCCCATCCCCATCCTGTGGCTCTTCCCAAGCCGTGGGGCTGCTGGGGGCTCCGGGACCGTGCCAGGGCTATGCCCGGGGGGAGGGATGGCTAAAAGTAGCTCAGCCTCTTGCCCGTGTTCCTGTTTCAGTTCTGCACAGGAAACCAGAGGGGATATTTATGTCATTGCTGGGCAGGAAAAAAAAAAAAAAAAAAAAAAAAGAAAAATCTAAAAAAATTTTAAAAAGGCCCCCAAAAAGGAAATGGGAAGGTGGCAGGGCTGAAATAAGTAGTTGTGGAGCTGCAGCTGCTTCCACCCTGCCTGTGCTCCAGCCTGGC